TCCTGACTGGCTCTCCCAAGCCCCGTCTCAATCCTGTGGCCACTGCCTATGAAGGCTCGGTTGGTATTAACCTCCGCAGGTTCAGAAGGGCCGACCAGTTTTTTCAGCGGGATCGTTTAGTGCTGAGTCACAGCGGTTTGTCTGCGGGACACAGGCAAACGGGAGCTTGAATTCAGCTGATCCGGGCTCCGTGTGTGTTCTGAGAGTTCCAGACTGTTCGCCCCAGATCCACGTCAGCTCAGCATTGCCTAATGATCCTGAGCAAACAGCATTTAGATGGTTTACAACTCCCTATGCCCGCGCAGCTGAAGAGGTCAGAGACTTGATCTCTCCGCGCCCACTGCCATGTTCCAAAACTCAGCTTCTTCTCTATATTGATTATTTGAATTTGAGAGTTTCTTTTGTGCATGAGCTAATGTGTGTCTTGTACACATTTGGAGTATATACTGTACTGCTTATTGTTACTGCATTTTCTCATCTTGCTTTAGTGATTCATATAACTTTATAAATTCTTTTTTATACTGCATTATACATTTTTTTCTTAGTGATTTTTTTCTCATTTGTATTGAAAATTCTTGTGTAAGCTGTAATACTTTAAATTGTACTTTTAGGTTTTGACAATCAGCTTCATAGAAATATTTTTCAAATCATATCTACTCTTTTTTATTATTGATTTAAGTATGTAATTAGTCATTTTAGGAAATTGTAATAAAATAATGACCAAGTATCATTTATATAGAAATTTACACATTATGAAGACATTTCCACAATTTATATTTTATTTTATCTTGAAAATTTGCTCTATGAGAATGCTGATGAAATCTGGAAGGGATTTCACATTTATTTACAAAAGGTCTCAAATGTAGACTTTTGACACAAACTTCAAATCTGGTTAAAAAGACAAAAATCACAGTAATGTACTTATAGGATTATAATATTTTTTTCTTTTAATTTGTTTCCTGTTGCTGGATAATAATACTACATGTTATTCATTGTGAATGAACATTTTTGTGAGTCACATAATATACTATCTTTTTACTGGTAGTTGTTTGACTGCATTTTTGTTTTTAAGAGAATTACTATATTAAATGTAAACATTTAAAACAGACCATAAAATTTTAAACTCTCCTTTGGCATTTTTTGGGGGTTATAATATGCAAAGTGCCTCAAATAGTAAAAGTATGTATGACTTCAACTGACCCTCTTATTGGTCCTGCTGGTGACACAAAATTCTCACTCTCTGAATCTACTGCCTTTAATCTAAAAGCAAAAAATACATATTCTTATTGTTTTAGTCAACTTTCTGTTATTATAATAAAATACCTGAGATAAGCAACATATGAAGAGGAAAACAGTTTATTTTGTGGATATTTTAGTCCATGATCAGTTGGCCTCATCACTTTGGGCCTATGGTGAGTCTATATATCATGGCAATATATAATGGAATAAAACTACATCATGAGCCAAGAAGCAAAATAGAGAGAAAGGGACCAAGGTCCAACAATCCTCATGCCCTCAGTGACTTGGGGGTCCTCTCACTAGGCTCTACCTCTGAAAAGTTCCACTACCTCCTAATAATATCACCCAAGGGACCAAGCCTTAACACATGGACTTTCAGGGACATTTAAGATCAAAACTATACCAGGTTTTTAAAATAGATATTATTTGTTGCATTACACACCTCTAGTTTAGTGGTGGTATTTTGAGAATGACCACAACTTTGTGTGATTTCTTTGGCAGGTACTCATAGCATTATTCCCTTTAAAATATTTAATTATCAGTTTTATATATCAGTTTTTTATATCATTTTTATAGCCTGCATAGGCTATGTTGAACTGAAGTCTGACTTTTCAAATCTATGTTCTCAGTTAGTTATTTAAAAGTTTATGATAGATGCATCCATTAGGATGTCTATTTAATTTATTTATAACCAAAACAAAAGTACATTAAAATAAAATTTATCTGTTTACAATCAGTCAACTGTAACTGATAATTAAAGCTTACAGATTTTGTCATGATAATACCAAGTGCTTTTGTGTTCTTATTTTAAAAGAAACATTCCCATTCTCCAGCTGCTTGGCTGTCAAGTAAGCAAATTATAGATGTTTTATTTTATTAAAGTAAAATAGAAAAGAACTAATTTTTTCTTATTTTTTGCTTCTTCATACAATCTGTAGTACATGAGATAATTTTATGTGTGTTTTTGCCTTATTTTTTAAAAATATCCCTCCTCCTTTGACAACACTCAGCTAGTTCTGTTCCTCAGGAACTAAATCCGTGGTAAAATTTTTATTCCAAGCTACTTAGAAATGATTCCTAAGACATTTTCTGTTTTAATTTTTAAAATTATGGTAAAATAACACAACATAAAATTTGCCATTTTAACCATTTTTAAGTGAACAGTCAAAGGCATAAAATTCATTCACATTGTTGTGCAGCCACCACCACTATCCATCTCAGAACTGTTATACTTCCCAAATTGAAATTCTGAACCCATTAATAACTACCCCCACCTCAACCCCAACCCTGGTCTTCTACTTATTCTCTCTAAACATTTTATTACTTTACATACCTAATGGAAACAGGTGCCTAAATAATATCTGTCCTTTTGACTGTCTTGTTTCACTTAGCATAATGGTCATCAAGGTTCATCTGTGTTATGGCATGTCTCAGAATTGCTTCCTTTTTAAGGCTTAAACACAGTATTTATTCCATTGTATGTATATATCACATTTTGTTTATCTGCTCATCTGTTGATGAACATTTGGGCAGCTTCTGCCTTTTGACTATTGTGAATAATGCTAACTGTGTGAATAATGTATGAGTGTACAAATGACATTTACTTATTTAATCCTCATTGCAGAACATTTACTCTGAAAAGTCATCCATTCTCTAGTTCAGAATAAGTAGGCTTTATGTATAACCTAGGAAAAATGGTCTCCTGTTTCTGCTTCAAGTTCTTTTGTAACTTGTCTTTCCTCTGTATCCTAAAACTATTCTCCTATCTACATTTCATCCTCTCTCAAGTCAGTGATGATTATTCTCTTTGTTTTCTCCTCAGAGCTCTAATCTACCTTCTAGGCTTCAGACATATTTGTCCTTCAAATCTTTTATATCTCTATGGACTCTTTTTATGAGTCCCATGTCTCTAATTTTCTGTTAAGATAATTACACTTATGTTCCAGCATGACCACAAACTCAAAGTGACTAACAAAACTCATCTTTTCTACAAAACCACCTTCCTTGTTTGCTTTTTGTGTTTCTTCAGTGCTTACCATTTGGGGATTAATCCAGCCATAAACCTTAAAGTCATCTTTGCCTTGATCCTTAAAAAGAGATAAGATCTGTTGACCACTGAAATCCAAGTGAGTTTTAAAAACTGCATTTTGTTTAGACACAAACCATATCTATTTTTTAATTACTCACAGTATAAATTTCAAATTCTCTGTCATGTATAAAAGACCTTTCCTGATGGACAATTGTTACCTTTTCCAATCTAACCTCTTGTCCACTAACCACATAAACTAACTAGTTGCAAGTCATTATACATGCTGTGTCATTTCATTCCAGTATATTGACTGATAGCATATTATATTAGCCATACCTTTCCATTTCTTCAAGACTCAGCTCAAATGTTGCCTCCTTAATAAAACAACCTTAATTTTCTCTTTAGGCAAAGCTGGCCATTCTGCTTCCATAGTTTTCATTGTGTCTTGCATTTATCATATCACCTGTTACATAATCATGTCACAATTATGATATTATAATTATTTATTTGTATGATACTCTTTTTTGAGGGTAATGATTTTCACATTCTTTTTAAAAATATCTTTATTTTTTAATTTTTATTTTTATGTGGTGCTGAGGATCGAACCCAGTACCTCACATGTGCAAGGGAAGCACTCTGCCACTGAGCCACAACCCCAGGCCTCACATTCTTATTTAAAATCCCAGCACCTGGCACACAATAGATGTTAAAATAATGCTAGTTGAATCAGTAATCTAAACACTTAATTCTTCAAACATGGACCATAGAGAGAGCAAGAGCATTCTAACAGGTTTTCCTACAATAAGTGTTTATTTTTCTGGATACATTCTGTGTTAATTAACAGATTAATATTTTAGAAATACTTTTTGACATTAGTGCACAACTCTCACAAAGTCCCTAGCTTCCATTTATCTAAAATATAAAGTCATAAATTTTTATCTTGACATTTAATACTCTTTAATCTAGCTGCAAACTACCTACAGTATACATTATAAAATTGATGAAATAGACTATCTGCTACAGGCATAACTAAGGTATGTTAGAAAATAGTATCTTGTGTTGTTATTTATATGTATCCTTTGTTTCTCAAACCACATTAAAAACTTCATGAGGTCAGAATGGGTCCTTGTCTTTTTTGAAGCATTACACACAAAAAATTCAATCAGTTATCATTTATAAACACTGTGTTTATTACCATTAACACAGACCCTCTGATATGTCCCTGCTTATTCTAATTGCTCTTTCTTGGAGCAATCCTCTGCTGTCATCATCCTGTACTTATCAAGATTTTACTTATATTGTAGACCAATCTCAAGTGCCAGCCTCCTTTGAATCCTTCCTTGATTGCCTTACCTCCTTTCATATTATAATGGATCTCTTCTGCCTCTTCTTACAGTCTTTTGATACCTACCTTCTACTTTACATTTTAGTGTGTATATATATATATATTTTTTTTTCTCCCTGCCCACCATAAAATTCAGTGGAGGAAAGAATTTGGTCTTTTTATTTTTATTAACTGCCGTGTCTTCAGTTTTCTACATTATTTTAATGTAAAGATTGACCTGTAATTTTTGGAAGAAAAGCAACTGAGAGAAAATTATTTATACTTTAATACCTTTAAATCTTATACTTCTATACTACTATAAGTAAAATTGAAAGTACTTCTGTTTAGAAATCTTAATGGAGTAAATATTGAGATGAAATAATACAAATATTATTTTCATGTTTTAAGGGTTTCATTGGCTCTCCTGGAGAAGCAGGACAAGTTGGACCTGAAGGAGAAAGAGTAAGTTTTCAAATTTTATTTCTAATGCTATTTAGTAATGATGGTGTACAAC